ATTCATGGAGGTAATGGAAGAAGCTAATGAATGCTGGGTTTAGAGTCCATGGTTTCTGGTCCTGATGTGTCCCGTGCTTGATTCCAGATGCATCCTGTAATGCCTGCCACTCATATGTCATATAAGCTAGTTAGACTGTGTCCCAGCTACATCACAATCCTGATTTGTACTATGTGCATAATCATACAGCAAATAAATTGAGGCCTGCTTCTATTATACTTTTCCAAAATACATTCACATTTATAAAATCATTTTTATCCCTATCACAAACCTGTGAGATGAAAAGGGAAATGTTTTTTTGTGTCATTTGACTCATGAGTGAACTTAATGAGTGACGTAGAGATTAAGTTATTGGCAGAGCCCAGGTCTGTAGACTCATTCCTGGGTTTCTGCATTACATGAAACTGGATTTGTCTGTCAGTGTTCATGTGAAAGTGTAACCACCTGGATTCTTTGTGGAAGAAAATAACTGGATAAGTTGTGTTAAATTACCATAAGAGTAGCTAAAACAAAGTTCTATTTCCCTTGTTGAGAATTTGCCTTGGCATTCCTCTGCAAGATGAATTAGAATGTTTTGCTCGAATTTAGGAAATACACAAACCCAGGAAAAATATATCTCATATTCTTTTAAACGGGTAATTTCTCCTGAGACGTCTTTACATTCTGAAAATTCACTTTATTATTACATTCTAAGGTTTTTTGCTTTAAATGCCATGGCATCTGAGTCTAACTTTTATTGGTGATATTTGTGGTTATCACTTTCCACTGTCATCCTCTCCCTTTTCTTTGTTTTGTTCCATATATACAATTTGATTTATGAATAAGGGCTTTTTGATTCTTCAAGATAGATTTTGGTGAATTGGTTCAATAACTTGTTATTGAAAAGCAAAATCCATCTGGGACATATTTATGTACTTCCCATATAAAAAATTTGAGATCAACTGTTTATTCATCAGTCATGCCACATTTTTGTTTGTTCTGAGGACATCTACATTTTTTGTTAGTTAAATATGTCCAGAAAAGTATTTTCAACCTAAAAGTTAACTTCAAGGCTGCTTCAAAAACTTGGAAATGAAATAGGTGTCCTAATCAGTAGTATATTAAGCACAGTGTTATTCAGCCTGGCTAAACCTGCAAATTCTGGTTAGACTTCCTTTTAGTGTGGTGCAGAGTAAGCTGGCAGGTCAGACTGAGGACACACTAAGAAAGAGTAGTTTGAATTGGGGTGCCCTTGTTTGTCACAACATTGCAGTGGCAGCTTCTCCTTTGTCGCCCTGAGAGATTTTTTTTTAAAGATTTATTTATCTATACATACAGAACTGGGTAGTACAGGCCAGAGGTGCAGGGGTGGTGAGAGGATTCGCCAAAGACTGAGTAGGGAGCAGAACAGGCAGATCTATGAAGTACACTGCTGAGGGAGCAGATCTGCCAGGCCATATGGGACACCTCTGGGGAGCCGGATGGAATTCTTAGGGAAGCGGCTACAGCTAGCTTACAGTGCTGCATCCTAACCTGTTTGGCCACCAGGGAGGGCCACCCTGAGAAATCTTAATGAAACTTTAACTGAACTCTACGAGAACTACCGGAGGCATTGTTCAGGCCCAACTCTGTGACCTCTGTCATGGAGGTCAAAGTCTTTGGCTACCTGCAGTTTAGCCTTTTTTGCTTTTGTTTTTGTTCTTTGTGTGACTATGAAGATGGAGTGTCTCAAAAAACTGGGAGTTGTAATGAAGAACCTCTCCATCTCCACACACCTGTCCTCTTTAACTACACATTTATCCTTGGGTGCTTTGTCATGTTGCAGCCACACCAGAATGGAGGCTGGCCTGTTTCTTCTTGGCACTACACAGAAGATTCCATGAGACAAAGGATGAATTTTGCTTTTTCTCTACTGTATACATTATTCATAGTCAATAATCATATTGAGTTGGACTCTTTTCCTTCCAGGTGGCAGGAACAATATATAATTTTTTCCCTGAAAATATTGCTGTTATACAACTGTTGTCTTTTTCAACAAGGCATTTGGCATCTTCTTCCCATCTGACTTCACATCAAAAACATCTGGAGAACTTTGAAAAATATCGATCTTGATATTTTGTACATAATTCTGTAATCTTTCATCTACAAAGATCCACTGATGAATCTTGTGCTCAACCCAGTTTGGGAGTCAGTTATAAAGCGCGTATGTTGGAAATACAAGACCCACTCTTGACCATGGGCTCAGTGATTCTCTGGGAGGTCTCAGCATGCAGTTGGACTCATGGCTATGGTATATTCCAGAAAAAGGATACAAAGCACAGGGAAAAAGTACATGTCCAGAGAAAACCAAGCACTAGCTTCCAAGAGTCTTTTTTCGTATGTAGTCACCCAGAAAGCACATACCTCAGACAAGAACACTTAGAACAGGAAGTGTGTGGCATAGGGCAATTCACACCCTTGTCTGCAACATGAGGTTTCTCATCCTCAACACTACTGGTTTTCGGGCTCAGATGATTCCTCATTGTGGAAGGTTCACTCTGCATTGTAGGCTGTTTAGCAGCATTCTTGAACTTTACCTGCTAGATGCCAGAAACACATCTTGTTCCAGCTAGAACCCTCAAAAATCTCCAGACATGGCCAAATGTCCCTGAAGAATGAAAAATCCCCCAGTTTGGCTACCGCTCAGTGCAGAAAGCACAGGAGAGGTTTGTGTAGAGTTCTAAGGCAGCCCACTATTTGGTGAGGGACCCTGACAAGCTTTCACATGGCTTACCAACACCAACCTTGAGGAGTGCTTATTCTGGGGAAGGCTAGAGGAAAACCACACATCCAGGAAGCATGCAGAGAAGGATCAGTCTATTGGTCTCAAGAACAGAGCTGCAGCCGCTATCCTCAAACTCAAACCATGATCAGAAGCAATCTTGTTTCTCCGCCTGCCACTCTCCTCCATTAAAGAACTCTGTTCTGGGTGCTGGCCGCTGCTGAGGAGTTTGAAGGCATCCTCATCTGGTTGACCCCAAATTGTTTCCTTGACCATTGGCAGTGCTAACCCTTACCCCCCAGAGATTAAATTGACAAGCAATATACTTCAAAAGGCCAAGATAATTTTTTTTTTTGCAAAGCTCTTTAGCCCAACACAGTTTGGAACAACCAACTGGCTGGCCAGCTTGGTCTGGTTTGGAGGTTCCATTGTCTCTGGGCACTTGCTGCAGCCTTGAGGTATTGAATACAAGGGTGAAGTCACCAAGTGGGTCATTAGTAGCTGCACACAGTTCCTCCTCTTGAGTACACCCAGTCTGTCATTCCCCCAAGCCTCTGGCATGAATCCCTTTATCATTTCAATACCTTACAAATCTTAACAAAGATGCTAATAGCTAGGCTAGAGGAAGGCAGCATTCCATAAATAGAAACAGACAAATCGCCTTCCTTCAAGAACAAAAAGGATTAAAATGGTAAGGGGAGATTGAATTTTTGAGAACAGTTTAGAAAGATGAGATCTCAATACTGAATAAATGAAGAATGGGAATCTTGGCCACAAAAAAAACAGAATAAATGTGTAGCCTTAAGAGTCATAAAAAACACACACAATGATTGAGTAACAACCATTAAACCTCTTTTAATGCCCCATTCCCATTAGAAACATTTTTTAAGCTCAGGTGATCAAACCCATGTGAGAAGAATGGCAATGGTGAAAAGAATAAGGCTGTATGACACAGGGGTTACAGAAGAAAGAGGATCTGATATAGTCATGCTTTATTTCTAAAAAAGAAGTGTAAACTGTACATTTACTAGAAAAGAGAGCTAAAGAAATAAAGATGGCAAAATTCTTCAAAATAGGAGTGAACTTTGATCATGGCACCCTTGCAAATCACCACTTATGTGGTATTGGCTGGCATCTTGGGAGAGAGGCACACTTGTGCTTCTTATGTCAGGATGAGAGTGGATGGACCTGGAAAGAGATGGCTCACCTGTACCTGAACATAGGTTCTGTCACAAGGCCCACTGCTTCTAAGGAAGTTCAGGACTTGGGGCCATCATGCCCCTGCTCATGCAGGATAAGCCACTGAGCGTAGTCTGGCAGAACAATCAGACTCAGAATAGGCTGAGCTTACTTTTGCTAAATCATTTGTTTCTGGTAAATTGAGCCCCCTGCTTAGTTAGCATCATTCCTGGTCATTGGAGCATAGGGATAAAAGCTCCTTTGGGAAGGATGCAGCTCAGAAAGAATAGCAGATAGAAGAGAACTCAATTCTGCAAGTCTTCATGACAATAGACATTACTAGGACTATTAAAATAAGTAAAAAGAAGTTCTTCTCTTTCTATCTCTGATGTGGGGAAAGGTCACTAGCATTATTTGGAACTGATATACGTATAACTAGATGATTAGACAAATGACAGAATCAAGCCCCAGCATTCTTCTTTAGAGAATCCAGTATGTCTTAGAAACAAGGGATTTATGTTTGAGATTATTGATCCACTCAGTTTTTCTTCATTTACATTTGATTTTTTTCCTTGAGATGATTTACTGGAATTTGGGGACAATTCTGTATTATTAAATATTGTGTTAAATTTTTATTTTAGTATTGAATTAATACCTTGACTTCTGGTAAATTGTCACAGACCCACATTTCATTTAGCAAATGTTACTCCTTAAATAGGCAGCAATGTATTTGATAAACACTGAAGAGACTTATTGTGCTAAATAACATGCATTTAGATTGCTAATTGCATGTATGGTTAATTTAGAAATAACCCTTGGCACTTGTGAATTACTCAACATATGCAATAATCTCATTTTTTTATCAGAGGCAAATGAAGACTAAATAACCATCAAGAAAGTAGTCAGCTGTGAGTAGGTTTGTAATCTTAGCCTCCATGGAGATGTCCTTCACAAAGATAAAAATGGAATGGGCTGATTTTTCTATTGTAAGACTGCAAAATGCTACTACTGCATAGGACTTCACAGCTTGAAAAATGGCTAGGGCTCCATATGTGTGCGTGTGTGTGTGTGTGTGTGTGTGTGTGTGTGTAGAAATGCTCAAATATTATTCAATCACTTGGATTAGGATGTACACTTAGCATACAATACCATTTACATCATCACCTCCCTATGTTGAAGGCCAATGGAATGAAAACAATACAATGTAATTTCAAAAATACATGTAGTATGCCCAGTAAAATACATTGGTTAGCATAAACATCAAAGGAAATAGGAGTTTGGAATATCGATCAATATTACTGGGGTTTTGAATTGTGAAATAATCAACAATCCTACCCATCTTATCTCGGAAGACAAACTTGAACTTGTCACTGGTTTTCATTGTCAAGTCACTATAGTCGACATTATCACCAGAAATTTCAATGCTGGCGAGGCTGATCTTCCGCTTAAAGCTGGAGATGGAGCTGTTGATGATGTTAGTAATATTGACTTCTTCTACTTCCTTCGCTGTACCCTAGTTCATAGACAGCACAGTTAACTTGAAAGGCTTGATTCAGCAAAATAAATTAAGTGGATAAGTCTAAGTATGAAGTAATTAGGTTTCATACTGAGTTCCTCAGAAATTAATTCAACCAACCATCCATTGGGGCTGGTAAGCAGGACTTGGTAGTCCTGTTACTCTGCTAATAGGTGACTATCCCTAGGTCACCAGCTTGAGTAATGAGAATAACTATAGCCTATTCCAGACATGCAGAGCTATGTGCTAACTGCTAATACTCAGGCTTTGACATTAGCTGACTTGGGTTCATATCCCATTTTGCTATATGTTTGCTATTGTGAAACATTAGTCCCCTTAATCCAGACTCTATTTTGTGCTTCCTTTGGCAGCACATATGCTCAAATCTGGACTCCATATCTTTGCAAAATGGGACAATATTATTGCCACCTCATGAAACTGATGAGGACTAAATTACATAAAGCATTTAGTGATGCTGTGATGAATTCCATTCTGTTCCAGGAGAAGGAAGTAATTATGAGATATAATAGAAATCAGCAGTGCCTTTATGTCTTTGTGTGTCTTCACCACACAAATAAAAACAGTGATGTTTCTTACAGTTCCAGGACCATTCTCCAACATGGCTGGAGCAAAATAGCATGTGGAGAGTGTAGTGAAGTCAGAGAGAGCAGAGTCTGGTACTTACTAGGTATGGGGTCTTAGATGAGTTATCCCATCTCTAAAGTGGCGGAATCCTTAACAGTAAAGTTGTAATAACAATATTTGGGGGTAAACTACATAAGATACATAGGGCACAACAAGATCTCTGCAGGGGAATGATTACATGCATATATAAAGATATTTCTGGTATCTTCAGAATCCTAGTTATTCTCCAGTCACCTTTTTTGCCAGTCTACCAAATCCAGATTTTGTCATTACTGTTAACTGTTGCCCCTTTAAGGAAGCCTATGGGGAGTAAAATAAATGCAATCCATATTCTTCTTTTCTGGCACTTATGGTCATTTGTTTGTGACATTGGACTGCGGTGAGCATTGCTCACCATCACCTACCACAAGGGGAAAGCAACTGGATCTTTGGGCTGTTCTGACTGCTTATTTCCTCACTGTGAGACCCCAAAAGGAGTTAGCACTTTGATAATAGTGGGCACCTCTTCTGTGTTGGATCCCTATCAATTTCTGCTTGTTATCATGAGTATGCCAATGTCTATCCCATTAGATTTCCAAAGAATCCAGTGTACCACAGACTAGCAGAGAATGATATGTAAGCGCATACCCCAACTGGGAATTGCAGAGAGGGGAAGACTTTGGAGTCAAGTAGATTTGGGTTTATATCTCAGGTCTATCCATTACTACCTATCTCCCCTGGGGTCAGTCATTTACCCTTCCTGTACCTTAGATCCCACGACCATAAAGATGGAGATAGCCTTAGTGAGTTGTTATGAACATTTAAAATGATATACTATTTGCAAAGGGCTTGTTACTATGTCTGACACCCGTAAACATCAATAGAAAAAAACATTAGTATTATTCTGAGAGCTGCTAAATCAAATAATGACAGTCCTTCCCAGTTAATGGGAAAATATTCTAAGCAATAAATTTGTACCATTTAATTTTTCCATACCTTTCTGGTAAATTATTCCTTGTATCATTTAAGAAAACAAGAATGTAACAAAAATATTAAATAGTGAATGCATATTGATCTGGAACTTGTAAGTCGCTGATCAAGCTTTTTTGATATTGGGTTTTTCATGGATGCTTGTTCTGGTTTTGATTTTATGTTACATACAGATGATAGTTACTTTCTACTGGAAAATTAATTGTATTAAGATCTCAGTATATTTGGCAAAAAGGAGCAGTCTTTTTCAAAAGACATCATGACTTCCAGTTGCCCCTACCTAAACAAGGATGAGAATCATTGGAAAAGGGTGAATCACTGGAACATAGGAGCCAGGTCCAGTTCATCTCTAAGGCCAGCATTGGACATATGTGGTGAATCATGTACAGGGCCCTTGAAATCCTTACCCTATCTTTGGCTGCCATCTGCTGTAAGGAGCTGTAGTGGGCAACTGCATATTCCAGTAGGGCCCCAAACACGAAGCTGAAGCAGATCCCCAGGTACACATCGATGGCCTTTATGAAGCAGTTGGTATTGGGCAGAGAAGAGCGGGATCCGATCATCAGTGTGGTCATTGACAAGACAGTGGTCACTCCTGGGAAAACAGGCAGGTGATGTTCCCACCCACATCAGCAGCCAGCAAATTATTCCCACTCAGGATTTGGCAATGGGGACATGACTCAAAAATGGAATATAACACGTTTTGAAAATCCTATGTCCTGATGGAATAGTATAATAATCCATATTATACAGACACAGGTGGTGTGGTTTTCTAAATGTTATGCTCTCTGTCTTCTCATTGAAACAAGGTGTTTAATGGAAACAATCATGGTATAGATGATGTAATCCTAATTCTCCCTTACCTGTCACTGTAAATCAAGTTTAAAAAATGTACTACTAACGTAGACTCTCTTTTTCTCATTGTCTCTGTTAAGGAGTCTATCAAGAAACCATCTTCTAGAGCTGCTCTGTGAATATCAATGAGAGCAAAGATAGAGCGGTGGGGAAAAGGACCCGATTACCCAGTGTTAGAAGTCTGCTGGAGCTTCTTACCAATGCAGGTTCTTGCTGGAACTGAGTCAAGGGAGATCCAAAATGAAACCCAGGATAACACCACCAGGAACGTAGAAGGGACATAGGTTTCCAAAATGAAATATAAGACATTCCTCCGAAGCTCAAATTGCAAGACCAGTCGGGTGTAATTTCCTGAAAGAATAAACATGAGACAGAAAATCATACATGGGGCCTCCCTAGTGGCAAAGGGGTTAAAGTACAGCACTATAAAGCTGTCCACAGCCAGGGAGCTGACCCATGAGGCATGTCAGGCCCCTCCTGTCTCCCAGCTGCTCCCCTCAGCAGTGTATTTCAGTCCATCTGCCTGTTCCACTCTCCAGTCTGTCTCTGGTGAATCTTCTCAACCCCCCCCCCCAACTCCCTTCCCAAACCTCTGGCTTGTACCCTAGCTCTTGTATGCATTAATAAATAAATCTTTTTTTAAAAAATCATGCATACTCACAGCAGGGTATTTTCCCTGTGGAACATTTTAAGTAGCTATGTCCACATCTCATGATCTGTTATTCACCAAAACCTGGTTAATCATGACCTGTGATGGTTCCAATGGAAGGAATTGATGTTGTATAGAGTAGAATTTATAGGGTATGAATACCTCCCACCCATGTTTCTCTTCTTGTGCCATTATTATAGTATCTCTGGAGCACTGTAATTGTTGGTTCCCTTGACATGTGCCTGACCAGATTGGAAGCCCCTTGGGGACCATTTCAGTACTGGAATGGAGCAGATAAAAGTGCTAAGACCAAACCCTCCAACCCACCTCACTATGGAGGGGTCCATGGGTCCCAAACAGTTAAAGTGAAAAGAGAGGCCATATCTGACTCAGAATACAACTCCGTCATTTTGCGTTTGTTCTGTTTGTCCCACGGGTTACCTGTTTCCTGCTGTGACCTGGTGGCCAAGGTGAAATACTGTTGGATGGTGTACTGAGCCAGCCGCAGGTTTTCCAGCCCACGCACAGAATCGTTCCCTCTCAGCCAGCTGAACTCTACGTCGTTTCCATCATAGCCCCCTGGCAAGCAAATCAGGGCCTGGTCAGCATAAGAAGGCAGCAGATGGAACTAGTCTGGATAATGCTATGATATGGAGACAACATGAGCTCTAGCTTGATGGTCATAAGTCCAAGGATGATTTCATGCAAAACTAGTCATGAGTTTTCAAGTGTAATTGCAGTGACTGCTCAGCATGAAGTGAACACTTGGGCTATTTGCCTTCAATGGACAACTAGTTCCAAGCTAAGCATTGCGTAGACTGGTAGAGAATGTTCCTCTAGGAGGGGCCTCCCTTATTATTTAAGTGATAGTAACTGACACATACTTGCAGATGCACAAAGGACTATGTTAGATCATATCTTTTAGGATAGTAAAAGTTCTGACAGTGCTCTCAGGGAATGATCATATTTCCATGTTGGCATAAAAGCAAAAATGAAGAATCTGCAGCCAGTCACTTTATTGATGTTTATAAAGATTGGCATTTGATAAATCTCAGTACAGTTTTACTTATGTAGTTGATAATAGTAATAATAGCTAGCGTTTTTAACAGTCATGTTAGTCTGCTACACGTTATGTCCCTAATATTCTCACAAACTAGCAAGGTAGGTATGTCTGTATTTCTTCTTTTTTTCTTCATTTTCTGAAATTGGGGTGGGTCTTTAGTTGATATGTATGTACACCTACATACATACATATATAGTATAAGTTTATATTTTCCTTAAACCATTATTATTCAATAAATGCTTAGATTTGAAGAACAGTCATGTTTTGGCCATTTTATATGTGAAAATTCTCAGATTCAGAGTAGTTTCATATGTTAGGTAAACAGGGCAAGTAGGAAACAAAGCCAAGACTATACTGCAGAGAAGTTTAATTCTTAAAATCCATGGAGAGGGTGATGATAATGATATCTACCATTTAATAAGCAATTACATTTCCAAGCTGTACAACATCGTCATCTCATTTACTCCTTAAAATAGTTCCTGGGGGAGATGAGGGAAGGGCTAGTAAACTCAGGAAACATGCTCAGCATCATTAGTCATTGGGGAAATGCAAATCAAAACCATGGTGAAATAGCACTTCACACCCATAAAAAGTCTATAATAAATATAATAATACAAATAGTGAGACCATAAGACACAAGAACGTTGTTAGTGGGAATGTAAAATGGTACAACCAGTTTGGAAAATAGTTGGTAGTTTCCCGAAAACTTTGACATAAATTTGCCATTTGGCCCAGCATTTCACTCCTAGGTATCTGCCAAAGAGAAATCAAATTGTGCTCACACAAAAACTTGGACACAAATGATCATAACAGCAAGAGTCACAAGATGTGGATAATGGACAACCCAAAGGGATTTTGTAGTATCTGTATTCTTTTGTATGGAATAAAAAAAGAATAAAGTTATAAAAAGAAATGTACTTGTCTACACCCCCACATGTGTGAATTCAAAGTTATTACCCTAAGTGCAAGAAGGCCACCTATTGCATTGGCTCCATTTGTATGAACCACCTGGTAAAGGCAAATTCTTAGAGATAGAAAGTAGATGAGTTAGGTTGTCTAGGGGTGATAGGGCAGCAGGGAGTAGGTGTAAATGGGTACAAAGGCTGTTTGGGAGTGATGCCCTAACCAGGTTAGGTCAGGTGGCTACACCATTCAGCAGCTTCACTTAAAATCTTTGAAGTGTGGCCCTCCCTGGTGGTCAACAGGTTAAGGCACAGCACTGCAGGCTGGCAGCAGCCGCTTCAGTGTGAGTTTGATCCCAAGTCCTAGAGGTGACCCACATGGCGCGACAGACCTCTCCTGCCTCTCTGTTCTGCTCCCCATTCTGTCTCTGGTGAATCCTCTCACCACCCTGCACCTCCAGCCTGGACCCCAGCTCTGCATCCATAAATAAATAAATCTTTAAAAAAAATCTTTGAAGCGTACATTTAAAATTGTTAACTTATATAGGAGAAATCAAAAATGTTCAAAATTCACAACAATGTAAGGAAATAAATATAAATAATTGACTTAATTAATTTTTTAAAAGTGCTAACTGTCAAAAAGATGGGTGGATTATATGGTATGTGATATTATCTCATTAAAACAGTTGAAAACAGCCCTTAGAGCCCTCCCTGGTGGCGCAGCGGGTTAAAGCACAGCACTGAGAAGCTAAAGCCGCTTCCTCATGAGTTCGATTCCCGCCTGCCCCGGAGGTGACCACATGGCGTGGCAGACCTCTCCTGACCCGCCCGCTGCTCCCCTCAGCAGTGTACTTCATCGATCTGCCTGTTCTGTTCCCCACTCTGTCTCTGGTGAAGCCTCTCACCGCCCCTGAGCCTCTGGCCTGTACCCCAGTTCTGTATGCACAAATAAATAAATCTTTAATAATAATAAAAAACAACCCTTAGACTCAGATATTATATTTGTTCACTACACTGAGGAGGAAACTGAGTTCCAGAAAGGTTGTTACTTAACCAAAGTCACACAGCTAGTGATGGGAAAAGTCCAGCATCTCAGCTCTTGTGATTTTCAGTGGAACTTTATCACCTTTGTTTTTTCAGGGCTACTTTGTTTTTTCAGTGTCAGAATTAGCATTTTGTTGAATGCTAGCTCATGGGATCTACTGTTTAACAACAGTTAGCTCCCCCTCCATAGACAGGGAAAGTAGTCATAACTTTTAGAGCATTTCTAGGTAAAAACTGTCTGTGGACTTTCTCTTGGAAACACACCAAAATTTACTGAAGCTAGTTAAAATTGCTGTAGAATCCTAAGAAATAAAAAATAAATCTTTTTTTTTAAATGGGTGTCAAATCCCCTACTAGTTGATTTTACAATGAGTAAATGCTCATAATAGTTACATTATCGCTGCTCGGTCCCTGGCTGGATTTGGCCAATTGGGGGGATGGTATCAGTTCTTTCCTGGGGATGGTATTCAGACAAAAACCCTTGGTAAGGTTTCTGTACTCAAATAACTGCTAATAAACATCCAGCGAAAGCTTCTTTGGCTCACCAGGGACCGTGTTTGTGTGAGCAGAGTGCTGAAGTTTCCAAGAGAATCTTGCTCCTGGGATTTGAGATGAGAGCAATCACATAAGAAGGGCAGTTTACTTTTTCCACGTGGAGTTGAAAATGAGTTCTCTTTTTGATAACCTCAAGTTTTATTCTGCCCCCAAACAGCTGTATTGCTTCAAGAAGGTTTTGCATGCATTTAATCAATAAGGTAATTAATCTGCTTGTCTGAGTCTTTAATTAAATGTCTACCTCTGAAAAATGACTGCTGCCTTGTAATGGTTGTGCTTCCTGGATATTGGCCATTGTGTCCTCATGTAAGAAGTGCCCACTGGTCTCCCACTTGACTATAGTTTTTATTCCTTGCACAAGCCATGCCTTGGAACCTTGCTGATTCCTATCTGTGGTGTGGTTTTTCCCAGGAAGCCCACCCTAAGTACCACCCCAAGTTTGGTGAGCATTTCAGAGTGTTTTACTGAGGAGCACTGGAGACTACTCAATGATGCTACAAATTTATTTGACACCCATCAACTTGGAGTAAATCATTATATCATCATAACCAAGTCCCCAGTTTATAATTCAGATGCCTAACTACTGGCATTAATTAATTAATATATATTACCTCACACACACACACACACACACACACACACATCAAACGTTTCTTTTGAAGTTTGAAGCAGTTTTTGAAGAATGTAATCTTGCCAAATCTAACCTCTGCTGTTTTCTAGATGTTAGGAGATTCTGGGTCTCATTGGTGGTCCTGTTAACCCACATTCCTTTGGCTGTCTTGTCTACTCTTAGGTGAAAATATTTGATTTCAAGGCACAGTGGTCTTTCCCTGAAGATGTAACGCTGCAAGGCTTTGTCCTTGGGCTTTCTCTAAGTCCCTCCAAGCATACAGTGAGGACAGTTGAACCCATTTGAATCACTATATATCAGAAAGTTCACTATATATCAGAGTTGTTAAGAAGACACAAATGGAAGTCAACCAGTAAAGTCATTCCGGGGACCTAGGATGTATACTCACAGCTTTCCAGTTGCAACTTGCATGTCTGTGTGTCCATGGGGTATTTAGATAGGTCCATGTTACATGCCACAGTTGTTGTGATTCTAGGAAAGGAAAAATGGGATCAAGAGTGCCACGAAGATCCTGTAGAAACTGTAAATACCTTTGTAAGGGTGACTTCTAGACTTTCAGCTTGACTTGTAAGGTTACTTGTATGTAATTTGGAATCTGGCTTCGGTACATTCCAGGGTTTTTTGTGCTAAGCAAAACCTCTAAGACACAGCTAAGCTGGGGTCCAGAGTGGAAGAAGTGGGAGTGTTGACAATCTAGAGGCAAGTTTGCAACCAAATCATAGGAAGAGATCACTAGTTGGCTTGTTTGAAATGCTTTGAAGTTGTTAAATATAATCTTCATGACAAACCCAAGATCACTGTCACTACCTTTATAAGAGAGTTGGGGGCCTTCTGGAGCATGGGCTAGAAACCCAGGTCTACTGGCTTTCCAGTTCACAAGATCCCCACTTCCCTGCGGTGGGGCGGCATGCAGGAGAAATGGAGGGGCCAAGGGCCCAGGCACTGTGGGTCTTGGTGACCAACAGCCGGAGATGTTCAACTGAACATCATTTAAACTCTCACATTGGAGATTTCATTCTACAGAAATATCTTCATTTTACTAAGCACCTTTATTTGTGGAGCACTGTGCTAAGTGGTTGGGGAAAGTGGAAATAATTAGGACATGGTGCCCACCTTGGTGCTCACGTTCTCCCAAGGGAGACAAAAAATAACAATAGGTGCTATTCACTGAGGATTTACAGCACAGAGGTCCCTGGGCCAAGTGCTCCAAGTGCATTATCCTCTTTGAATTTCTACAACAGTTTTATGAGATCAGAAATTATTATTATTCTTCTTTTGCTGCTGAGGAAACAGGGTTCCCAGAGTCAAGTAACTTGCCTAAGATCACAGAGCAGGAACAGTGTGGAAATGTGCCCCAAATCTGACTGACTCTAGACCCAGGTTATGAACCATCATTCACCATTTGTAGTCATTGTATAGGACAGACTGGATGCGCCATCACACACACACACACACACACACACACACACACACACACGTTCTGTGAGTACACACTGGTACTGTGGGAACATGGGTAAGGGGAAACTCCTATTGATTGGTTTGGGGTCAAGGATTAAGGAAGAGTTGATGCTCCTTGAAAGAGAAGTTGGATTTTCACTGTTCTGTGTAAAATTCAGGGCTGTTGAGAAGTATCAGGTGAACAATCCAGAAATTCAGTTTTTTGGTTAGCTCAGTCTTGATTTTTTTTCTCATCAGCCTCTTATTTGGGACAACAGATCAGCTCTGTGAATATTTGGTTCCCAGCCTTCTCCCCAAGGCATCTGGAAGCCTACGGTTTGCTGCAAGTTCATATCCTGGCGAGGCTTCTGCCTATGGCTGCCATATACAGTACTGAGGGAACCCCTCACCTGCACCAGCACCCAGTGGCTGCTAACAGATTGTGTGAAAGGAACTTTTGGTCACAGGCTTTGGAGAAAGGGCAAAGGGCAACCCGATGCTATAGGAAGCAGAGGCTTAGGGACTGTAAACTCTGATTTAATCTGTACAAAACCAGCTCACACAAGTAGAGAAGCATTCTGAAGCTTGCCCAGTACCATGGAGCCCCATGGAAGTTCTTTGCATTCAACTCTGTTTGATCTTTCTGTTGTTCCCTTCACTTCTTCCCTAACTAACTTCCTTTTCTCAGTTCAGAGTCCTGTGGAAGCATTCACTAATGTCCCACACTGCTCACCTACTATCATCCCTGGCCCTTTGCTTACCAGTCTGTCAGACAATGTCACATCTACCCTGTAGCCCAGCCTTCAGCATGGGGCTTGGCATAGAGCAGGCATTCAGCAGATGCCTGTTGAGCCAAACTGAACTGAGAGAAAAGGTCCCTCTGCCATGGGAATGAAGAGTAAGGGGCAGAGGCATGAGAAGAGCAGTTGAGTACTGGACACAACTGCCACAGTGTTTATAGGCCTTCCTGCCAGACATTGCCCTCCACTCCCGGGGCATGAAGCCCGGTACCTGAGAGCATAGAGGACTGTGCCATTGGCGAAGAGGCGGATGAGCCTGTTCCCGACAGTGACTTCATGGAGGAAGGACGTCTTAGACTCCACGATGTACGTGTCTGGGACCCAGAGGAACTCCACAAGGCGCGCATCCAGAGTGAAGCTCTTGTTGCCTTCAAACACCAGCCGCTGGTCTGTCCAGCGCTGTCTGAGGTATATGGTGGCCGTGTAATCCTGAGAGGGTAGAGCAGGAAGTGGACTTGGATAAGGCACAAACTCCAAAAGTGCAAGAAAAGGATCACATCTTACTACTTGCCCACCTCCACTTAGGTCAAGTATCTACACTACGCTAAACATGGGTGAATATAGTCTGTCTCGGGGTGGTGGCCCATAGCAATAAGAGAACAACACACCTTATTTGTTTCAGAGAATGGCTTTCCCTGCCAAGAGGGAACTCCACAAGAGACCATATCCAAGGATTAACCTACTTGGCATTTAAGCTCTTAGTCCCGTCAACCACAAAATCCCCACCAAACTGTTGAAGATTTTGCTGAGCTAAGTGCTAAGGGTGTCCAGGATTTACCCAGAGTGCACAGCAGGCCCTCTTGGCAAACTGCTTCTAGTGTCACCTCATCTTTGGTGGGTCCTCTGAAGTGGGAGGGTAGTTGGATGAAATTCTGTCATCGTCATATTTCATCATTGTGTTTCCCACCACACTGGGTTCCCCCCCGCCAAAAGCACCCACTCTGTTCCTTCATCCTCACACCCTCACCTGCCCATTGAATACACTTTCCTCCTTATACTCAGAAGGCCTAAATTAAAAGAACCTTCCACCATCTTGAGTTCCAAGCTGGGTCTCCAACTTCTACCATTGCAAGTGGAGGGGTTTGTAAGTCTGTTTTGTTTTGGGTTACCTAGAAGGCATATCCCCAACCAGTACAAGGAGAAGGACTTGGGGACCCCACTTACCATGTTACTCTCTGAAATACTAGAAATACTTGCAATGTCCAGATTCAGTGCTACCTGAACTGGTTCTCCTAAGAATGAAGAAAAAAATAGAAAGACTTATATAAAAACCCAAGCTGAAGGTTTCTTAACACTACATTTGCACAAAAGAAAATACTAGAATGTTACATACGTAACACTTTCCTCTTGGAAAATTTTTAACAATCTAGAAGGACAAGGTTAATTTCTATTTCTTCTGCTCAGGAGAAAGCATGGTGTAGCATGCCTCCCTTTCTTATGAAAAAAATTGCAGAAATACCTCATTAGCTTGATACATAACAGAGACCACAGTATATTCATTAGTACATAGTTTAAAGGGTGCAGTGTTATTTGCTACATTTTATCTAAAGGATTCTTCCCATGGTGCCTTCAAGGAGCTAATTATTTAGAAATGCAGTAGACAGTTGGGGATATGTGCACAGATATCTTTATCTCTCCTCCAATAAGAGAATGTACCACCATATGGCATTCAAGATTGCTAATGGCTGAACTTTTGTTCACCGCCTAATATTTTCCTCCTCTGTCTTTACTTGCCAGGATTCTTACACTCTCCAGAATTCCAGAACCTTTCCTACTTGTTTTGGCATGCAGAGAGCAGGCCTCAGTCCTGGAGTCACCAAACTTCCATCATCTTGAGTTCCAAGCTAGGTCTTTAACTTCTACCATTTAGCCAGATAGGCCAAATTCCCTGTAAGCATCATCAGTCTCTGCTCTGGAGGCCGAAGCTCAGAGTCAGCATTCTCTAAAGCCAGACCAGGCTCTGGGAGTCTCGTTTACTTTAGACTGGCGATGTGGGAGGAGGGCCTGGGAATCAGAAAGATGTGAATTTTGGGAAAACCTACCAAATTTTTCAGCACTGCTTTTGTCTCATCAGCAAGTGGGGGAGAATACTAATGACATCACAGGGCCTTGGAAGGGGTTAAATGACACTAGACCTGTGACAACTTCTTTACAGAGTGGCAGGAAGAGGACATATGGAAGAGGTGCCTGTCTGGTGAACACCCAGAAGGTGCTCAAAAGGAGCTGTCTGTATAAAACTCCTGACACTGTCTGTTATGTAATCATAGGCACTCAGGAAGAGACAATTCCCTGCCCTTCCCTTGCCTCTTGCTTAATCCTGGCTGATTCTGAAAAAGGAGCAACTTCACGAAGTATATAGCTACAATGACTCCCACTTGTGATGAATGATGGGCACTCTTTGGGGGGCTGTGACAATGTACTAACCAGGAACAGGAGGGGTAGGTTTCAAAGGAAGCTTAAAACTATCTACTCAGTAGGAATTAGACAAAGCAACCTACTTATTAACCAAAGCAAACCAAGCCATGACCTGTCAGCAGGAGTTTGGAAATACAGTTTAGAGCCAATACAATTAAAAACTAGTGAAGTATTCAGCAATCAAAAAAGATAAACACATGCCTTTTGCAGCAACATGGATAGAGCTGGAAGGGATCGTGCTTAGTGAAATAAGCCAGAAAGAAAAAGAAAAATACCAGATGGTTTTGCTCATAGCAGGAGCATAAAGGACCGGGGGGGGGGGAAATATTAATGAACAACTACATACCAGAGACATTTTACAGGGGTAGAGTGGGGAATGGGATCATAATGGGGGGGATTATGGTGATGGCACACAGGTGAATTGGTGATGGGAAGTCCACGGGGATTACAACTGAGATGGAAAAAGGCACAAAGTGATGTAAAAATAAACTATAATAATAATAAAAGTAGCTAAGTGTTAATATTCAGTGGGAAAGGGAGGGGTCTTTGAGGGTAGACCCTGAAGGTGCTGAAGGACAATGGTGCTAAGTGGCAGCCTGGGGCTTAGAGACAGAAAGTGGTGTTGCAGTCCCATGCAGGTCATTTCATAGCTGTGTGACCTTGTGCAAAGTGCTAGCCCTCTCGGTGTTACAGCTTCTCACTTGTAGAACAGCACTACTTGAGCTCATCAAGAGTGGGGTTGGGAAGATGACAGGCCCCATGGAAACTACTGGAACACAGCAGTCAGTCAATGGTAGTTGCCAACCCTGAGGAACATGGGGAATGAATGGAGAATGGAAAGCACATAAAGGCCCAGCCTCAGCTTGTTTATTTAATTTGTTTCCCATTAGCCCAGCCCAGATCTTGTCTCATTTGGCTTTTTTATGGACCAGTGCTTGCTCTTCTTTACCCTTGAGTTACAGAAGCAAGCTGTGCCACCAGAGGGCACCTTTTTCCTAGGAAAGAGGTCAAAGCCAGTTCCTGGACAGCGTTCACTAGGGCATGTTGCAAACCTTTGTTCTGTGTTGCTCATTCCCTGAAAACTTCTACAAAAGTTTTGTCTTCTAAGGACCTCAGGATCACAGAGTGTGGGTAGACAGAGAGTACAGAGAACAAAGGCCCCTCCAGGCTGCCATGTAAATGTAGGTTCCTTTAGGAGGTGGAGTGGCAAAAGGCATATAACAAGGAGCTTCCCCTCTTCATGACTGAGGGGCCCACTTCATCCCAGGTGGTTCTAGGCCTCACGTCCCTTTTTGTCAAACCTGGGCTCCTTATTCTCAGAACAGACAACTTGCCCGAGGATTCTGTTTCTCTTTAAGCAGACGGTATGTTCCCATTTTACAGAGAAGGAAACTGAAGCTCAGAAAGCTAAGGTGTTTGCCATGCAGGAGAGCCAGAAGCCAACTCAGGTTTGTTCAACGCCAAGTACTCTCTGTGATGGAATGATACCTTAGAGTCTTTTGATTGTTTCTTGATTCAGTCTCACATTTCACAAACAGGCTAAGGCCCTCTGAAGACAGTCTCACCAGGCAATAGCTATGATTTGCAGTTATCGTCTAAACAAAGTGTGAAGAAAGGGGATAGGACTGGAGGAATTGGGGAAGTCTTCTCAGGGGAGGAAGACTTTGATCTGAGAAATGAAGGAAAATTGACATCTTGCCACAGAGTCAAATTTGAAGAGGCAATTTTTGGCAGATAAACAGGCTCTGCAGAGGCATGGGGCCGGGGACGCCAGGGAGGTCAGGGAGCAGCTTGTGGGCAGGTGTAAGAAGGTGTTGGGATGGATCAGAGGCTGGACTGGCATACGGGCCTGGTGTGACATGCAAAGGGCTCTGGACTCTATGCTGAAGATGCTGGAATACTGGCAGGTATCCTGAAGAAGGGAAAGGACAGGTAGGTCAGGTGGCAGGATGGGGGCTGGACTTGAGGAGGCAAGTGGGATAACCAGGTGGAGTAACCCTGATGGAACTTAGCGAGTCCCTCACATAATAAGTGGGATCAGAGGAAGGTTTAGAAGTCGGAGGTTGTTAGAATACTATTGTCCCTGGGATCACACATGAATTAAAGGTATGTAGTTGAAACTATAGTCACTCCTTGGTATCTGCAGGGGATTTGTTTCAGTTGCTCCCACACCCAGTATAAAAATCTGCAGATACTGAAGTCCTTTAGTCCATCCTCTGTAACTGCAGGCTCTGCATGCGTGGATTCAGCTAATGCCAACTGTCATCTGCCACCGGTTGAATTTGTGAATGTGGAACCCTTCAATAGGGGAAAAAAAACCCACTTGAGCTGATTCAAGTTGGTTCAAGGGTCAACTGCATTTCTTTATCCTGCAGGTAGAAAGACAAAGTGTTTTCTCCCAGGTGGTGTGAAAAATCATGGCTGCTGTGTGCCACTCCTTACCCCGCTGTGGATCAGAATACAGATTGAAACCCTTGCTCTGTCCTTTTGACTGGATGATCTGGACCAACAGAAAAAGAAAGAAAAGACCTACCACCAAAATTTGGTCTGAGAAATTTGTTATATCCTGCTGTGAGATTCTCAAAACCAGGCAGGGAGAGCTTGTCACTTCTGCTCACATCAATGCTGAGCTGATTCCCAAGGATGCACATCCTGGAACAGGAAACAGGTTTTGGTGCACATGTTTGTGGGTGTGTAAACATGTGGCTACAGACACTGGAGTGTGTGTGTGTGTGTGTGTATCCCAGGTGCCCTGTGGGAACTTTCCCAGCGAGACATCTATCTTTCAGCCGCTGCATCACTCTGTTCCTATCCCACTCTGTCTCCTCCTCCATTTACAAACATCAGAATGCCATGGTCATTTGGGAAACGTGCAAGAACCTTGCCAAACATTACAAGGGGTTCTTCCATCTCTGATCATTTTGGAAATGCATTCTCAAGAGAGAATAAATGGCAAGATGTGGCTTCATCTTCACCAAGGAGGGGAGGACACTAAGTCTTGTTCCAGCTGACTTTGTCAGTAGGTCCAGTAGGTCTGCAGAGCTGCCCCTCCCCCTCACACACTCACGGCACCCTTCAGACCAAGGCCACTGTGGTAGCAGAGCCTCACCTTTGAGTACAGAGACTCAGATACAGGAAGGTCAAGTGAAGCACGTGTTCCATAATGAGGAGCTGCTCACCTGGAGAAAGGCCAAAGCAGGAGTCACCTGGAGAGACAAATGGGGCAGGTAAAAGGCAGACAACCCAGAACTTACCTCTTCTCAGCTTGCTTCTGTGTCTCCCGGGGATTCACCTGCACCTTCTCCTCAGCCTGCATAGGGAGCAGCTTCTCTACACCTCTCCATGACAACTCCTGCTCCTTGCCTGCCATCAGGGACTGACTACATCTGGAGGGCACATTTTCAGTTTGACTCAAATAAAGACCAAGGTTTGTTTAAAGAGAGGCTTACCCACACCAAAAATGCAACCAGTTCTGTATTTGAGGAACCCCACAGCTGTCTTTGCCCGGTCCTTGTCTTGACTTTGCCAGAAAAAAGACATCCCTGGCCCCCAATTGTATCCTGACTGTTTCATTTACCCAGGGTCTCAACCTGTGGACAGGCCACAAAGACAGGGTGTGAAAACTTCTGGAGAAACTGCCTTGTGCTCAGGACACACCTGACACCGCCTCACAGGCCTTCTTCCATCCACAAGTGGTTTTGTGAGGTGGGCAGGTGGATCCCTGTTTTGCAATATGGAAGCAGAAGCTGGTGGGAAAGTGGAGGGCTTTCTGTGAACCAGGCCACTTTCTGGAGTCCAGAAGCAGGCGAGTGGCTGTTAGAGGAGACCTTGATTCTAGGACTGGCTGCCTGGCTGCCAGAGCTCTCGTCACAGCTGAGGATGCTGCCTGAACCCCTAGCCCCAGGGACCTGTTCCCTGGGCGCTCACAGCTGTAGGTGAACCTCAAACCCATGTGAGGACACCAGGGCAGCACGGCCTGGGGCCCAGCTCCTCACACGTGGAGGTTGTTCTCTGAGGGCAGTCGCAACGCTGTAATCCAGCACAATGGTGACAGCAGGGAGGGGGTTCCTCACAACTCTTAGGGGCGCGGGCCCTGTTCCTACACAGGCCCAAGGTGGAGGGCTCTCTGTGAACAAGGCCACTTTCTGGAGTCCAGTCCTTCTGGGGCGTAGGCTACAAATCAGCCACTAATGAGCTAACATTATTTTACTTACAGAACAAACCTATGCTCATTAGGGAACATGACAAATATATGTCAAGGTAGGTTCATTGATTAAAACAATATTCTCCTCTGTTGGAAGATGGGGATACTAGAAAAGTACTAGAAAAGTAACGTTGCTGTTACCTTAACACTTCTCTAAAAATTAAGTCTATTATAATATAAGAAGACCTTCCCCATTTCTTGTCTCCCACCATAGAGATAAGCACTGTTAACAGTTGTCTTATCTGTGCATGCACATATATATTTACACGTATGTATCCTGACATGAAGAAAAACTGAGAACGCAAAGTGGAGGGATGTAGCATTATGTTTTTGTCATCTGCTTTTTAGCTCTTGACAATTAGAAGAGTAAACGTTTGTTGGATTTTTAAGTCATGCTTACATGGAGGAAGAACCTCTCCAATCCTCAAAACTTGTAGAAGTTACAGCTATCCTCCTCATTTTACAAATGAAAAAAAAAAAAAAAAAGGAGGCTTAGAAAAGATAAGAAACATCTCCAAGTGAGAGGCAGAGCTGAAGGCAGGCAAGCTGACCCCAGCCCATATAATACTACACCATGTCGGCAACACCAACCTGGGCCAGTTCCTGTAGATCTGCCTTCTATAGATGCTTGCTAGCACCTCAAGGTGTTTCATAAGTTCACTGCACCAATATTTAAACATAACACATGTCCTATTTATGGATCATGAGTTATTTGCAAATTCTTGTCTGTTAAAAAAAAAATCAGCAATGAGGGCCCTCCCTGGTGGCACCGTGGGTTAAAGCGCAGCACTATGAGGCTAGCTGCAGCTGCTTCAGCATGAGTTCGCTCCCCGGCCAGGCAGCTGACCGACAGGGCGCAGCAGACCTCTCCTGACCCGCCCGCTGCTCCCCTCAGCAGTGTACTTCATCGATCTGCCCGTTCTGCTCCCCACTCTGTCTCTGGTGAATCCTCTCACCACCCCTGCACCTCTGGCCTGTTCCTCAGTTTTGTATGCATAAATAAACAAATCTTTAAAAAAATAATCATCAATGATATCTTTGCACACAGGCAAGCTCTTATAATCCTGCAATGATCCATATTTTTCTACTGCAGCCCTTTCCTTCTCATTCATCAAAAATGTCAGCTCTAAAATCAAGATTATCAGTCTATCATTGATCCTAGACAAACCTTCCTTCCTTATTTAGTCCATTTCTCCAATCCTGTCCTTTCTCCTCTGGCTAAAGATGGCCTGTGGCTAGCCCCCATGTTTTCCAAGCTTCATCTAATGCTCCAAAGGTTTAATGAGCTTTCCTCTGAGTCCCACATGTGGGAGACAAACATCTACAGTATTTTCTTAGTCTGATCTGAATTAGCTTTGTTCTCAGTGTTTCCTTCTTTTTTAAGAAACTACCCCTGATCTAGTAAGTTGGGGCACCATCTAGACTTCAGCTCTAATACTCCTATTAATTTCTGTTTTCATGGTCAACCTTGGTTAGGAAGAGAGATTATCTAAGGCCTGCATTTCTGAATCTTCTCCAAGGAGGGTCCTGAGTGGTCTGAGGATCCTTGCCCATTCTAGGTCTGGGAATGAGATCCTATCCCACTCTGCTTGCTCTGGCCAGGTTGCTGAGCACATGTCATTTCATGGTGGAAGAAAAAAGGAGAGAAAGTCCTTAAATGCCCACTAGGCACGCTGCTTGGGGCTTAATCTTTAATTTTCACAACCAACTGGCCAGTGCTAATTTCTAGACTTGAATCTTAGGTTGGTGAAGGGACTTACTGGAGGTCACATACTCCGTATGTGTCCATGATTTGAATCCCTGTTCTTTGCACAGCATCTAGGAAGAGGATTCCCTAGCTTCTTAAGCTGAACTGGGTCCCACTCCATTTCCTCCTCTATTCAGCCCACTTTTCCCATTAAGGGCTGCAACCCTGGCATGTCCTCAGGGGCAGGTGCAGCTGGCTCCTTGGCCAAGGAGCCAACTATGAAGTGATTTGCATACCGCCCTTGGGCTACTAGTTAGGACTACATGCCTGGAATGGTTTGATGCAGTGGTGCACTGAACCACCAGAGGGCAGTGTCTGGAAGGTTCAGCCTGCAATCACCAAGTGGAAATTCTTGGGGACCATCTAGCCTTTGGAATCTGCAGAGAACATGGTACTTAGGAAGTGGAAACGCCTCAGTATATGCAGTTTATAAACTCTTATTGTACTCTGAGGGGATCTCTGCTGAGATCCCTTCTCTATTTGTAGAAGAGTGCTTGAGCTTTGTATGCAAACATGCTCAGGCACTTGACCTCTGAGAGTCTTGCTTTTCCATCTGAGGAAAGGGAACAAAAGACAATCTATGAATATTCGTTTCATTCTCCCCTCCCTTCCGGGGGGCTTCAGTGATCGCACTGTGATTCTAAGAACCCAAAGCTCAGCTAGTATAACCTCTGATGTCACAGGGTGTGAGTTGACTACAGTATCTTACTCAACTTAAGTAACTTAGCATCACCTCAAAGACAGGTTCAAGACAGGATTATTTATGTGACTAACAACACCTTTTTCTGGACTGACTCTGAGAAGCAGAAGTAATCGCAGTGTATGGGTTTCCACCCCCATTCCCAGAATCTCCATCACATACATAGAGTGAACCCCAAATTTGTCACAAACCTCTTCCTACTTAGGTACTGTGCCCCTCTCCTCAGTCACGTCAGTTGGCGTAAACAGAATCACTTTCTGGTGAGCAGGGATGGAGCTTGCAGTAGGGTAAGTTGAGGAAAGGCACTCTGACCATGGGTCCTCCTGGAGAAAATCCCTAGTTGGCAACAGAGAGGAAACCTGTGGTTTCAGTGACAGACAGAAGAAGCTCTAACCTCAGCTCCGCCACATGCTCTGAAGTCGTATTGTTTGTTCCAGTGTTCTTCCCTCCACTGCAAGAAGGGATAGTCACCAGCAGTTCTTCAGACAATAATGAGACTCTATACCAAGCAGGGCTTAAGAAAAACTCAGGTCAGAGCCCCTTCCTTCGCAAAGGGCTTATATTTGAATAGTCTTCCCCTTCCCTCCACACACAAGGAGGGACCAGCAATAGTTTTCTTACCAGGCAGCTGTCAAAGCTGTGTTAGGACAGGTCCTTCCAGTCTTTAGGTAGGACTTTCAAGCAGGGCATAATTTTCTGGGTCCCAAGATACATCCCATCCTCAGCTCTACTCTTGGATACAGGCACAGCCGCTCTGATGGAGTGTCTCTCTGCAGAAAGACAGAGCTGCCCGGCCAGCTAAGCAGCAGGTGGGCAGGATCACCTATGGCTCCTCCCCTGGGTGGAGGGGGCTCTCACCTGCTCCTGAGTGTCTGTCAGATTGATTCTGGGTTTAATTGCTCAGCCTTGCTCCCCGGTCTCAATTGGATAAAACTGCTAAGACCAAATAACCAAAGATTCATGAAATACCAAGTGGATGACCCCATCCACCATGCAGGGAAGATAAGACTGAATTTGGGTTCTGAAGTTGATGGACCCTCCTCTATCCCTGTGTGATGGAATGGACTTAGCACCATGGCAAGCCACTTTATTTGCGTAGACTTCAGCTTCTCATCTAAAATGACAGCTTGATCATTTCTAAAATTCTGATTCCAGTTTATGTATATTTGGAGCTTCATTGGGATCAATAGAAAAACTTAGTCTATGTGAAAGAAAATGCAGATATAGGACTTGCTGTCTTCCAGAGAGAGAGAAAGAAAGACATAGAGAGAGAAGAGCTGAATCCTAACCATCATACCGCCCGGGAGTGTCACATGGGGTCAGGCAAAGAAGATTGAGGCTGAGCAGGCTAAGCCAGGAGGAAGAGGGAGGAGAGACTCTGGGAATAATTTCTAGGCCTCTCTTTTTCCCCATCCTTATCCTTCATACGGAAGATTCTTTAATTTCCCACGAAATCCTAGGAGCAGACATAGCCCATTGAAGGCTCAAACAGAAGTGCTTTAGTGGTATTCTATGAGCCTTG